GGATATTGTTCTGAAACTACCACTGACTTCAGTCAGAAAGCTCAGAGAATGACAGGCCCCAAAGAAAACATGAGATGTCAGAAAAACAACCACTCACTCTGTGAAACGTTATAAATTCATTGGTAAAAACAATAAAGTGGTATCAACCAGTTTTTTATGTGTTCTGCCTCAGCCAGGTTCTGAATCTGAAAGAAACTGTTCCAACCCCCCCCCCCAAAACAGGTGTGGTAGATGTGAGAAATTTAAAATCAGCAATAGCACCAGTGTGTTGGTTTCTTTAATTTGAAATGATCCACAGAGATGCTGCATCATGGACACTGTAGCTGCTCTGATTTGTCTCCCTGCTGGGCCTCAGCTTTCCCTCTCAGCTTTTCTGGTTCTGTCGTGACAGAATTAAGAAAACAACCACTGTCACAGACTGCCCCAGTGTGTGAATAATTCAGATGAAAAAACAAGACTTTAGGGTTGTTAAAGGCCAACGAACACCTGAATGCAGGATGTTTACAGTTGCTCTGCAGATGAGATGAGTTAAAACAACAAAGATGGATCAGAAACTTCCTGAATCTGTACAAAGATGACGAGTCAATTAAACCCATGGTAGACTTTTAGATGGATCAACAAGTTAGCAAATGTTCACATTTTCACCTAAAGGATTCTGTTTCAAACATTGTGTTTCTATGTCCTCAGATTAATGATTAAATGTGGATATTGAGCAGATTCATCCTAGTTAACGTCAGAAAGTTTGCAAGGAAACGTTCCCAGATCTTTATTATAAACACTGACTGATCTGAGGTTTCTAATCTGAGCAGCTCAAACAGAAATAACTTAAAGCGCTGTGTTTTTATGTGTTCCTGCTAAAACTGTCCAACCTTCCATCATGGCTACTTTCACGTCCACTAATTACAGGAAACAGTGTTTGTAGGGTGGAATGTTATTGGTTAAAGTACAAAACTGTCTTACTGCTCTAGTTTGAGAATTTAAAGGTGTAATTCTGAAGTTGCCCATGGTTATTGGGTTTGTAAGTGAGGTACTGGTGTCCCGATACTAGTTTAAATTTTTTCAAACCCAGTACAAATATATGTACTTGAGTTTGTGTATTTGCCAATACTTGATATTGATACAGAGCAGTTAATGAATTAATACTTAAACATCACACCATGACTTCTGAAACACATTTAATTTATTAAGAACACAGCAGAGTCTGTTGTCTTAACATTGTGTTTATCTTAAAATATCTCTAAACTACAGACATTTTATTATTTTTTTGTCCTTGGTTCCTTGCAAGTGGATGAGGAAATGACGTCACAAAGAATAAATGTGGTACTGGTTTAAAACAGGGCTTTTCAACTGGCAGCCTGGGAGCACAAATGGCCCACGAGTGAACTCAGTTCGGCCTAACAGTGGGCTCAGTTTTAAATAAAACTAGATTTTAAACCATAAAAAAACGTACTTAATGACAATAATTGCTGGGTGTCCGGACTTTTTAGTTGAATAGCCCTGGTTTAAAGTATTGAGGTATTTTGATAAGTACAAGTACAAGTTCTTGAGGCTAGTACTGGGCCCGATACTGGGACACCACTAAAGTGAGGCTATTTAAATGTAAATAAGTTGTGATTAACAGAGGAGAGAGAAAACTATTGTTAAGTCCACACGACTAAAAATACACACAAAAGAGTGTCTCCATAAAGTTTTCAAAGGAGGGGCTAGATGGGGGGCCACAGATAATTTTAGGATGGGCAAAAATCTCAAAAACAATTACATAATTTTATTATTTTTATTCTGGTGTTGTCATATTAAGGCTAAAAGAAAATGCTGCAATACAGTGTTAGATAATCTGATCTAAACGGGATGACAATGTTTTTATGTCATGGTCATTTTTACGTCATCCATGGTTATGTCATCCCTTATGTTGCTGGAGTATCAGAGAACTTCAGAAGGATCTTCAACAAACACAAGATCCCAGTACATTTCAAACCCAGCAGGACTCTCAGACAGAGGCTGGTCCACCCTAAAGACAAAATACCCATACACAAACAGAGTGGTGTAGTGTATGCGGTCCAGTGCAGCGAGGACTGTCCAGACCTCTACATTGGAGAAACTAAACAGCCTCTTCACAGATGCATGGCTCAACACAGGAGAGCCAGCTCCACAGGACAAGACTCAGCTGTTCACCTCCACCTCACAGATAAGGGACACTCTTTTGAGGCCCAAAATGTGCACATTTTGGACCGAGAACACAGATGGTTTGAGAGGGGGGTGAAGGAAGCAATTTATGTAAAAAGAGAAAAGCCGTCTCTTAACAGAGGAGGAGGCCTCAGATTTCCACTTTCAAAAACCTATAATGCAACTTTAAAACAGATTCCCAGCCAGTTTTCACCCCTGATGGAAACAGAGGGGCCTCGTCAGTGAATTAGAGGGACAAAAGACTCTTACTGTTAATGTGTTTAGGTGTGAATTGCCAATCTACATATGTGTGTGTGTGTCTTATCTCACTCAGCCTTATAACCTGAATATCTCACTCTCTGCTCTTTGAATTGAGAAAGCTCCTCGGATGAGGAGCGAAACGTCTTCTGTTACAAATAAAGTCCAGTTGTTTTTGTATTGAACGCTTTTTGAATTCATCATGTCCTGGATGACTGAGAATCTTCACTAGCGTCATGTGTGTATCATGTATATGTCATGTATGTATCATGTATATGTCATGTATGTATCATGTGTATCATGTATGTATCATGTATATGTCATGTATGTCACTACCGTACCGTCATAATTCAGTCTCAGTGTTACTCACTTTCTGTGCAATAACCTGCCACACAACCTGTGTAGTTTATGTTAGTTATGTGAAAAATATATCATGTACATTTAAGCTACATGTGAAATATTTATTTATACTAATTTTTAACTTTTTGGTACTTTATTTTGTACCCTTATTGCATGCTTTAGTATTTATTTTGTTGTTTTTAACGAGTCGAGTTGGTTCTTCTCATCCTGAACATTTCACTGCACCTTGTGTTAACCTGCATATAACCTGCACCTGCATAAACAACATGATATTTATGTAGTACTTTTAAAGAAAGCGTTCTTCTTTCTGCTGCAGTTTGTCTTCACACATCTTCAGGATCACTGAATCTCAAACTTCTGACTGTTTATTAAAATGTTCTCCAAAGTTTACACATTGCTGTTCTTTCTTGGTAGTCAAGTCAGTTTACTGTAAACAGTCATGGTCATTCATTGATTTAACTCCCAGCGTTTCCTACTGGGGGCACAGCAGCACATCCTCTCTGTTTCACTCGTTTGACTCTGTTCTGCCCAGTACCTCAGCAGCCAATCAGAGAGCTGAGAGAAGCTTTCTCTGCAGCAGAGCTGTGAATCCATCATGATGATCTACAACTGATCTACAACTGGATGTTTTATCCACAACTGCCTTTCAGCAGGTTGCTTGTGTCTTTCATTTCAGAGAAAGTCATTAGTGCACGTGTGTGTACCTTGTGTTACCTTTTAGGACGTTTTCTGGAACACACGCCTACTTTTTCAGGACTGGTAATCCTTATGGGGACTAAGGCCCAGTCCTGCAGTGGAATATCCATTTTGGGTTAGGGTTAGGTTTAGGGCTAAGGTGTGAAATGATTTAGGGTTAGACAGGTAAGTAATAATTAAGGTAAGGGTCAGGCTACAGAAATGAATGGAAGATTATCCAATGTCCTAATAAGTGTAGAAATACAATTTAAGTGTGTGTGTGAGAGAGAGAGAGAGAGAGAGAGAGAGAGAGATGTCACCTTTCCCAGTGGGTTTAACTCTGCTGCTGAACTGTAGAAATAACTTCCTGTTGTTGATAATGTGACCCTAACTCACAAAAAATGCTCAGCGCCATGTTTCAGCTCCACTCAGCTCTCCGGAGACTGTAGGCATTTCCTAAGGCTGGTCTTTGATGGTCAGATGGTAGTAATACGTGTTTTGTTTTCTACTTAACGCTGTATAAACTTCCATCATGTAGAGGGCAGCTGTTTGCCTGGAGAAAAGTTTGATGTTCACATTAGTTTTTGAGAGGGCACAGTAAATTAAATGGATAAACAGGTTATTATTTGCACTCATAAAAGATGCACAACCCATCAATCTGAACTTCAATCTTTATCTTTTTCCTGGAGTGCTCCTCAGTCCACTGAAGAGATGTTGTAAACTCAGACTCGGACAGTCTAATCTGTCCATTGTTAAAGGGTTGTCCTCAGTCATTTCACCAGAAATGTTGTCTTCATTCTATACTTCTGGACGTTCTGCAACTCATGTTGCTGCTGCATCAGAAGACCGGAGGAGGGTGGGGCAAGCTGCTCTCACCACAGGGCTTGCGTGACGTAACCACATCGGTCTTTGTACCGGATGTTTCTGTCTAAACTGCTGCCACACAAGTAGTTTAAAGTTGTGAAGACATATTCAATGTTAATTTCACCAGACAAAGACAAAGATGGTCTGTGTGCAACTTATGACTTGAAGTATGAAATCTTATGCCTGAACACCTCATTACACCACTAGTCATTAAAATGTGAGATGAAAGCATTGTGTGTTGGTAAACAAATTAACTAAATTCACATGTTGACAAACTGACTAAATCAGCATGTTTACAAACAAACTGCCTAAATCCAGATGTGTTCATAAACAAACTGGCTAAATCAACATGTGTTGACAAACAAACTGACTAAATCAGCATGTTGACAAATAGAGTAAATCCAGATGTGTTCATAAGCAAACTGACTAAATCCATATTTTGACAAACTGATTAAATCAGCGGGTTGATAAGCAAACTAACTAAATCCAGATGTGTTCATAAGCAAACACTAAATTAACGTGTTTGTAAACATTCTTGCTGTGAGCGTCCAGTGCGCTGTCTTCATCATCTTTGTGTTCACACTTGCTATGAATGTTAGCAGACATGCAGAACATACTGTATGTTTAGTCTTCTCAGACTGCCGGCTGACTCAGGCCTGTTTCCTCCGTTCCTCTCATAGATCCCATCTGATGCCCAGGCTGAAGGAGTCTCGGTCCCATGAGTCTTTGCTCAGCCCCAGCAGTGCTGTGGAAGCTCTTGACCTAAGTATGGAGAACGAGGTCATCATCAAGCCTGTGCACAGCAGCATCCTGGGACAGGACTACTGCTTTGAGGTGAGCACATAGACTGTAAAGAATAGATAGACCTAAGGCTGGAACCCAGAAGTTGAAGCTAGAACAGGACCAGCTTGCCTGTCAACTGGTACTAGTACAAGTCTGGTGAACAGAACTCTTAAAAAAACAAACAAACAAACAAAAAAAGTCACCTCAGAGTTTAATTTTTTTCAGGTGTTGATTCAAGCTTATTGTCTTGCTACTTTTTGTTCAAATATAATTTTTTGATAGGTTTTGTTTTAATCAACTTGTCATTGCTTAACAGAAAGAGCACATGACCTATGATTGTGTTCATGGGGGTAGGTGGGACCTCCTAAAGCCCCACTCCTTCAGTGTGCTGGTTCTAAAAACACAACATGGCAGCTTCCGTAAATGAGATCCTGCTGACTTCAGTTTACAACAACAGGAGCATGTGGGTGTGCACGTTGAATATGTTTATGGGTCAGACAGAGCCAGTCCTCCAACACTCAGAGGGGTTTAAAACATAAACAATTGATTTTATTTACAGATGGTTATTGTAGAAAGGAACTCGGTCTCCAAAGTAAAAGAACTCTTCACTGTGTTTTATTTTACATTTCATGAGTTATGAGGTATCAGGCACCACTGTGCCTGAAGTCATCACAAAAACATGAAGACTTTGTTCTTTTTACTCTTTTTAATGTTTCATGAATGCAGGATGTTAGCACTTAGAGTTTAAAAAGATGACTGTGACGAGCAACTTTATCATAAAACAACAACAACGCAGTTTAAACTTGTGTGAAGACCTGCTCCAGGGTCAGATTCTAACATCGAGCTCGGTCTGAATGAACAATTTCATGTTTCTGTACAACAGACCGGCTTGGTTCTGACCATTGGTTTAACTTGCACCCTGCAGTTAAACTGTTTATCTGTTACACAAAACGCCCCCCCCCCCACCATATTATTTACTAATAGTGTGTTGACAAACTGTTGTTGTTGACCTTTGTTCTGTGCGTACACAGGAGGATAAATACAAATAACTTCCAGAGGTTTTAATAGTTTTCTTCAGCTCCGACTCACAACAAATCTTTTCTTTGTTTTCACTGTCACATTTACAGATAAAAAATTAAAATACCAAATCATCAATCATTTGAGTCTGATTCTTAGAATAAAATCTAACAGACCAGAAATCACTGATCAAAATGATTAATTAGTTTTTGTAATGAAACAGACCTTTAAGGAAGACACATATAGAAAGAACAAGCATTTGAGGGTTTTATTTATTTTAATATTATTTTATCAGGGTTTGATGATCTGTTCACAGACGTGAGTCAGGAGCTCATCATGTTTTAAAAACTAAATCAACACGTAAAATTGATGGATTAGATGAGTTTGATTGTATGTTTTTATGCTATTAGTGCTTAGTGTATATTTAGTTGATGTTTTTCTTAGGTAATATCTTAGATGTTATCATTGTTTTTCTTTTACATTTTATTGTTGGATGTAACTGGGACCCTGTGTACATAATTTTGCTTCATCGCATGTGGTGGGAATGACAATAAATAATCTCTGACTGTGACTCTGACTCTGAGTTTACAGGCAGGCACTAAGAACAATCCCGATTACTAAAATAATTGAATTGATGCGTGTTTGCGCGTGTTAGCATAAATGCACAGCTAGCACAACCTTTGGATGAGAGAAGTTACTAAATTAGTTTCAACACCAGAACTCAAACATATCCTTTATCATTTCATTGTTGTCATCTTTATGATTCAGATTGATATTTGCATCTTGAGTTAATGAAAATCTGTGATGTTTGATCTTTGAGACTTTTCCTTCTGTCTGCGTATCTGCTGCAGGTCACGACCTCCACAGGAAGCAAATGTTTCTCCTGTCGTTCTTCAGCTGAAAGAGACAAATGGATGGAGAACTTGAGGAGAGCCGTGCAGCCGAACAAGGTGAATAAAGGCTGGAGGGACTGGACCAGTTCAAGGGCCTGGGTGAATAAACTGGATGCACAATGTCCAGTTTAGAAACCAGTTCAACAATCGATTCAGTGGCCTAAATTCTCAAAGCACCCTCTGCCACACACAGAGCTGGTTCTGTGGGGTCACTCATAGAACAACATGAGATTCTGCTGTACTTATGGTGTTACTCTGATCTTTTGTACTTTTCTGTGTTGATTCTGTCTCTAATGAGACACAACGAAGGCCCTAAGTAAGAGATCTGTGTTTAACGCTTTGACATGCAGGTGTAAGGATGGTACAATTTGGTGGCCCAGTTTGTGTCTGTGTTCCCTAGTGTTTTCTCTTTAGTTCAATTAGTGC